ATATATATATATATATATATATATATATATATATAAAGGAGGCTAATTATATTGACCTTGGCCGTTTTTTCTGTTTTTAATTCACTGATTTTTTTTTTTTAAACACCATAAGTAATTTAATGACAAAGATAATAAAAGTCAAAATATAGATTGTCAAAATCTAGAAACTGGTTAATTTAAATAACTTTTTAATGTACAAATTACAGATAAATAAAAAAAATCTTCAGAAGTAATGTACTGTAAAATATTTTACCAGCAGCTAGCTCTCTGCAACTCTCATATGGTCGCCCACTGAAGCTAAGCAAGACTAAGTTGAAGCTAAGGGTGCCAGAAGTGGTGTTAGTGAGGCCAGCAGGGGGCGCTCAACCTTTGGTCTGTGTGGGTCCTGACACCGCAGTATAGTGAAGGGGACTCTATACTGCTCAGTGAGCACTGTCTTTCGGATAAGATGTAAAACCGGGGTCCCGACTTTCTGTGGTCATTAAAAATTGGAAAAAAGTAGGGTTTAAAAAATGCAAAATGGCTGCTGTCACGTCATCCAGGTGTATGCTGCACACTGGTGGTGGATGGGAAGATTCCCCCTAATCTAATGTGTAAAGCGATTTGAGTGTCTAGAAAGGCGCTATATAAAATGGAAGGAATTAATATTATTATTATTATTATTAATAATGTGTAGTTGTAAATTATCAGGAAATAAATATTTTAAAAAAGACCAAAACACATCAGGAACAAAATATGCTATGTAATTGTACAGTTAGTGACTATTAATCAGTATTTAAATATGATTAAACATGATCCAGCATATATCAGTTTATCACTAACGTAAGCTGCACTATATCTTCATTTCAGCTTTCGTTGCTTTTCATCGTATTCGTTGTAACCATGTGTGTAACCACAATCACAACTGGTTTGGAAAAACCTCACATTAACATGAAAGATTTTTTATTACTGTGTTACAGGACGTCGTGTACCACAGTGTCTACATCTTAACATTGCACTCGCATAACACATCAGAGAAACCAATTATCTTCTGAGTCATTTCAGTCCCAAAAAAAAACACCCAAGGATAAATTTCTCTAAAATCCAGTGAAAGTAGTTTGATTTCCGGGCACCTTCGGCCCACTTTTCAGCATGTTATGATTTTGAGACACAACACAAACAGAATGTCAATTGTGATTCAGCCGCTATCAGCAGGGGAGCTACTTTAGATTAATTTTATTTTCCCTCTCATCAGGAAAATTGGCAGAAAAAAAGCCACGTCATGTTGATTTGACACCTTTGCACATTCTCTTTTCACCTCTGCATTTCTCCGTCTTGTCAAAACGAAACCATTTTCCCACCTTCCTGTCGTTCCAAACAAGTATGAGAAATTTTCAGGTATATTTCCAGGACGTTTTTGATATATATGAACACATATATATGTGTACAGCAGTCAACATTTAAAGCTGATCATAAAATTTCATCAAAGTTTGGCTTTTTGTTTTAGGTGTTATTTTTTCTACCAGTTTATGAAGGGAAATATTGTAAGTTTATGCTGTTTTGCAATAAATTCAAGTTGACGTCAGAATTATTAGCCTTCCTCTTAAATTTGAATTTTCCCCTATTTCTGTTTCACGAAGAGAGGTTTCTTTTTTCAACACATTTCTAAACCTAAGTTTTAATAACTCATTTCTAATAACTGATTACTTTTATGTTGGCCATGATAACAGTACATATTTTATATATAACAATGGTTTGTTCCAACACAGGCTAGGCTGATAGTGAAAACGTACCCCTGTATACTTTTCTGGGGAGCATGAAATATGTAGCCAGAGCTACGTATGGCTGCATTTCACCTTTAAAGCTAACGCTGATTGTTTCTTTTTGTGCTATCGCTGACTGTTTACCTCCATGTGGACGCCTTTTCCGCTGTTAGCAGTTTGTCCAGTGGCTCACCACCAGTGTGTTCGAATTATACATTGACGATCGGGGGGTCAACTATTTCGGTAATGTTAGTTTGTGTAATTCACGCTTCAGTTAATTCAGTTAAACAAGTTTTGTGGGATAAGGCTATTTAGTGTATTCTGACATTCTGTCATTAACATTATTGTTTAAAATATAGATCAGAGTGAACTTTTTCTCAGATTCAAAGGCCTCCAGGGGAATCCAGCTTTAACTAGGTGGGTCAGTACCCCTCAAACCGCCCTGTAATTTACACTCTGCTCGCCAAATTCACATTAGTGGACTTGAGATGCAGAGAAAAGTTGACCGTGACGACAGGGTTCGAGTCAGATAAGGAAAGGTTCCAGAAAGCAGGTGAACGAAAGGCAAAAAATAAAATAAACAAGTAAATATCAGGATGAGAATGTAGTAAAATCTGAAAACGTGGTAAAAATCTGGCAGCCACGAGGGCTTTTCTTTTTCTCGATTGCTTTTGAAAACACTATCGGTTGGGTGAAGAGAGGGGGGTGGGTGGGTGTAATCAGTCGGTCAGTTGGTCAGCCTGTCGGTTGACATCGGCCTTTGGTGAATTTGTGAATAAACAAAAGCGTACTTCCTGGGATGTATTTCACGCTCTCCAGAAATGTATACAGGGGTACATATCAGTAATGAGCCTGGGTTGGTTTGTTCTGTAGCCAATGGAAAAAATATTGCTTTAGGGGGCTAATAATATTGACCATAAAAAGATTTTTGAAATATTACAAACTGCTTTCATTCTAGCCAAGATAAAACAAATAGACTTTCTCCAGAAGAAACAATTAATTTAGGAAATACTGTGAAAATTCCCTAGCTCTGTTAAACATCATTTGGAAAATAATTGAAAAAGAAAGTAAAAAATCACATGGGGATGAATAATTTTGACTCCAACAATATAGTATTTTAGTATAGTAGCCAGTACAAAATATAATTATACTCTGAACCTTCATGAGAAAAATGTTCCCATTAAGACCCATTGAAACTGCAATATTGTTGGCAAAAATCCAAAATTTGGTCAGTCAGGCATTATGTTAATAAACCGCCATTAGAAATCTTTTTTAAAGCATTAACATCTTTTACGTGAAAGGATTTTTGGTAGTTATTATCATAAATTATACTGGTAAAGAAATATGCCAATAAAGTGTTAAAAAATATTAATCTATAATACTTTTATAATAATTTTTGACACAGATATGCTAATTAAACATAATTAAAAATAGCTACTGGCACTTTTTTTACAGTCCTCATCCCAATTTACAACCAGTACATTCTA